ACTGATCTGCCCCACATGCCTCTCTGGGTCGTCTCGGACTCTTGGGCCGTACTCGGAGAAAAATATGACAATGCCTCAGGCGATTTGGCAAATGTGACCAAGAAATATGAGGATGTCTGAGGCGATTAGGCACCCACTCCTCCACCCAATCGCATCCTCGACCGTACTCCTCTTGCTGATCGGCACTCTGCTAATTACAGAATGCCACGTGCAACGCGGAAAGGGGTCAAATAGGATGTCTCAAGCGACTTGGCCAATACTAAGGAGAATTATGAGGATGTGTCAGGCGATTTCGCAAATCCAACTAAGGAATGCGAGGATGTATCAAGCGATCTGGCCAATGTTACTAAGAAGTGTCAGGATGTGTCATGCGATTTGGCTAATTCTACTAAGCAGTGTGAAGATGTACAAAACGATTTACCAAATTCTAATCAGATTTTCTGGAAGTCTGAAGCGAATTGGCGATTTAGTATTATTCCTCCTTTGCTCTTCGTTCTGCTCCGGTTGTTTTTTCTCATCAGGTTTCGATTGAAACTCCTTGAAAGAAGTGTGTTTTTTCTCGGCCGTCGTAGGGGGTAGTCCACCCGAAGATACACCACCCGCTCCGCACCGTGGCGTTATCCTAGCACCCGGCAACGACAAGAAAACAACCGTTGGGCTCTCTTGACCGTTCTGCGGAATGCCTCTTTGGGCCGCTGTGGACTCTTAGGTTGTATTCCACGAAGAAATTTGAGAATGTCCCAAACGATTTGGCAAATGTTCCTAAGACATGTGAGGATGTCTCACGCGATTTGGGCGATGCGAATGAGAATTGCGAGGATGTCTCAGGCGATGTCGCAAATTCTACCAAGCAATGCGAGGATGTATCGGGCGATTTGGCCAATTCTACCAAGAAGTGTCAGGATGTCTCATGCGACTTCGCCAATTAAGCAATGTGAGGATGTACCAGGCGATTTGGTAAACTATTGCACGATATTTTTGGAAGTTTGAAACGAATTGGCGACGTTTTCTTCCTGCTTTGCTCTTCGTTCTGCTCCGCTTGTTTTTCTTATGAGGTTTCTGCTGCAACTCTTTTAAAGAAATGTGTTGTTTCTCGGCCATCGTAGGGGGTAGTCCACCCGAGGATACACCACCCGCTCCGCACCGTGGCGGTATCTTAGCACCCGGCCGAAAAAAAAACGTGCACGTTTTTTTTTCGGTCGTCGTCGTCGTCGTCGTTCTTGTCCTTCTCGTCGTCCTCCTGCCTGTCTTTATCCTCGTGCCTCTACTACGAAATCTGAGGATCTGGCAGGCGAGTTGGCCAAGTATACCAATACATAAAAGGATGCTTCAAGCGATTTGGCCAATTCTGTTAAGAAACGTGAGGATGTCTCAGGCGAATTGGCCAATTCTATGAAGAAATATGAGGATGTTTCAAGCGATTTGGCCAATTCCTACACCTACGTCGACTCGTACTCGTACTCCTATTCGTACTCCTACTCCTACTCCTACTCCTACTCCGACTCCTATTCCTGCTCCTCCTCCCCCTCCCCCTCCCCCTCCTCCTACTCCTACTCTTAGTCCTACTACCACCATTACCACGATTGCCAGGGTTTTCATTTTTGCGAGGCGCTGAGAAGGCTGATTCGATGACGTAGCGGGCACTCAACCTCATTGGAACGGCGGCGGTTTCGCTTAAATTGCGAGCGCGGAAAGCCGCCTGAACGGCGCCAAAACTGTCAAAAGGCGGAGAGGAAGGAAGAGAGGCAGAGAGAGAGAGGGAGAATAGAGAGAGGGTGCGAACGAGAGGAAATGATTGAGAGGAGGAAGGGGATGACTGAAGAAGCGTCTGGACCCTGGACCCCGATGGGGGGGGAGAGGGTCAGACGGATCGGCCGAAGGCCTCTGAGAATAAAAGTTCCCTGGGCCCTGAGAGGCCCTGGACCCCGATGGGGGAGGAGGTCAGGCGGATCGGCCGAAGGCATCTGATAATAAGAGTTCCCTGGGCCCTGAGAGGCCCTGGCCACTGAGGTCACTGAGGGAAGGCGAGGGGCCACTGGCTGAAGGCATCTCCAAGGCCCTGCTATGAGAACCCCTTGCGATACGTCTTGGACCGTCTTGGATTATTCTGGAGCTTCTCGGCCATCTTGGATTATTATGAGGTTCTCTGGGCCGTGCAGGAGTCGTGAGCTCTCTTGACCGTTCTGCGGAATGCCTCTCTGGGCCGTATTGGACTCTTGGCCAAATCGTTTGAGGATGTCTCAGGCGACTTGGTCAATTCTACGAGCGAGAATTTCTACGAGTTCAGGTGGGCTCAGCGCCTCGCAAGAATAAAAACCCTGGCAATCGTGGTAATGGTGGTAGTAAAAGTAAGAGTTGGAGTAGGCGTAGGAGGAGACGGAGGAGGAGTAGGAGTAGGAGTAGGAGTAGGAGCAGGAGAAGGAGTCGGAGTAGGAGTAGGAGTAGAAGTAGGAATACGAATCGAAGTACGAGTACGAGTAGACGAGTAGGCCAATTTTCTTAAGAAATGCGAAGATGTCTCAGGCGATTGAACAAATTCTTATAAAACTGCGAGGATGTCTCAAGCGATGTGGCCAATTTTATTAAGACAAATGAGGATGTCTCAAGCGATTTGGCCAATTATGCTAAGAAATGCGAGGATGTTTCGGGCGATCTGGTTTATTCGATTCCGAATTGTAAGGATGTCTCAAGCGATTTGGCCAATTCGGATAAAAGCTGTGAGGATGCCTCAAGCGAACTGGCCAATTCTATTTAGAAATATGAGGATGTCGCATGCCATTTTGCCAATTCTATTAAGACAGGTGAGGGTGTCTGAAGCGAGTTGGTAAATTCTATGAAACAGTATGAGAAGGTATATTGCAAGTTGGCCAATTCTACAAGGAAGTGTGAGGATGTTTCAGGTGACTTGGCAAATGCTTATAAAACGGCGAGGATGTCTCAGGCGATGCGGCCAATTCTATGAAGACATGTGTGGATGTCTCAGGCGGTTTGGCCAACTCTGCTAAGAAATGCGAGGATGTCTTTGGCGATTTGGTCTATTCTACTAAAACATGTAAGGATGTCCCAAGCGATTGTGCCGATTCAAATAAGAAATGTGAAGATGCCGCAAACGATTTGGCTAGTTCGATTTAGACATATGAGGATGTCTCATGCCATTTGGCCAACTCTACGAAGAAGTGCGAGGATGCCTGAAGCGATTTGGTAAATTCCATTAGGACATACGAGAATGCCTGATGCAGTTTGGCCAACTCTACAAAGAAATGTGAGGATCTGTCAGGCGACTTGGCCAATTCTGTCTGGAAATATGAGGATGTTTCATGCCATTTGGCAGATGCTAGTAAGAACTGCGAGGATGTCTCAGGCGATGTGGCCCATTCTACTAAGAAATGTGAGGATGTCTGAGGCGATTTGGCCAGTTGTATTATGAACCGCGAGGGGGTCTCAGGGGATTTTGCTAATTCTACTAAGGAATGCGAGGATGACTTAGGCGAGTCGGCCGATCCGCCTGGTCGTTGTCGCCGTCGCCGTCGCCGTCGCCATCGCCGTCTCCTCCTCCTCCTCCTCCTCCTCCTCCTCCTCCTCCTCCTCTTCTTCCTCCTCCTAGCCCCAGGTGCCAGCATAACGCGTCCAGGTGCGGGGGGATATCGTTTCGCCAAAAGGGGGGGGGGGGGGGGTAATTGCTTCTCCGGGCTATTGGAACGTTTTGGCGCCTTCTGGGGCCGTCCTGGAACCATCGTAGGCGTCTTGGAGCAATCATTCGGCGACTCTGTGCTCTTGGACGGTGTTGGGGATACCTTGGGACGCTCGACGGACTGTCTTGGAGCTCCAGAGCGAGCCTGGGGAGCCCAGCTTCCCCCTGATGGATTCAGTTCGGGGGTGGGCCGGGCGGAGGTCGTCCGCGGCGAGGGGGGGGGGTCGAACTGCCGGTTTGGAGGAAGGAAGGAAAGATAGGGATCTTTTCCTCCTGTGCGAGCAGCGTCCTGGTCTCTTCCAGTACCTGAGCCGATCAGGCAGGCAAAAGGGCGAGTGAGGAGTAGAGATGAGGGTATAAAACGGGTTCCTTTCAAAGTCCAGGAACCCAAACAGACGACGGAGGCAAAAAGGCAACCCTGCAACCACCAAGGTGGTGTAGCTTCGCGACTCAATTGCCAGCCGCCCGCATCCTGAACACGATTGGCATTGAACCAGGAGAGACTGACTGTCCGGTCAAGCGGCGTGGTTGCTAAGCAACGCGGTAAACTGACGTTGCGAATGCTGGGCTCATGCGAGCGCCCGACATTGGCCAGTGTGCCAGCGAACTTGACGCGGCATCACCTGCAACAGATCCGGGAAAGTCACATGCGCGCCGGCCTAAATTGCTACCGCCCCCCCCCGCTAGGGGGCCAAATGTGAACCCTACCCCTACCCCCCACGATTTCTGAAGGGTAGGGTGGGGTTCACTTCGTTCGGGAGCTCCCGAGCGAAGTGAACCCCAACCTACCCCTCAGAAATCGTGGGGGGTAGGGGTAGGGTTCGCATGTGGCCCCCTAGCTCGGCGAGCGGGCTCGGTTGCTTGAGACCCTGCCCCGGCTGCAGCCGCAGCGCGAGGCCGGCGACGGTGCAGGTGCCCGCCTGAATCGGCTGCATGTGCGGGTCGTCCTCTGGCCATCGTTCGGACGTCCATTCCCTGTGTTTTTGTTTTTGTTGTTCGGTTTCGTGCGTGGTTTTTCGCCAAATGATCAAGGATGCTCCTCGATGGCCCTCGCCGAAAGAAATATGCACACGTCCGAGCGATGCCAAGTCCTTGGCCGCCTCCAACGGGCTCTCCAGGATCCTCTTCACAACCAGGGTCGGCCTCGACCTTCAGCTGCGCCCGGATCCCCGCTCGCACTCTGCTCCGGAGCCAGGACGTCGTATGCGGCAACCCGCCTGGCGTTGGCGACCGTCTCTGCAGCAGCGTCGACGGAGCCGGCGAGGGCGACCGGGATGCGCGATGGATGGGGGGGGGCGAGCGCCTCCGCTCAGCGTGCGGCGCCCCAACCGACGGCCCGCTCCGAGACGAAGCCGTCCTCGGAATCGGCCTGGCTGGCGCCGCCGGGCGCGCAGCTCACCTGGAAGGGTCCACAGGTGCTCCCGTCCAGGATCGTCTCGCGGCCCTTCTATTGAGCAGGGGCCGACCGTCCCGGCATTCCTATAGTCCTACCACGAAATGTTCTTAGAATCTAAAGATGTTCTAATGACAAAAAGCAATGTTCTTAGAACAACAACCCGATGGGATAAAACAAACCAGTCCCAGCAAAAAATGTTCGACGAACATTTCGCGGGAACCACAAAAGGTTCTTAGTATAACATTGTTTGGTAGGGCTATAGGCACGCCAAGACGCTTCGCCGCTGCTTGATTCTCTCCGGCCCCAGGGCGCAGGAGGAGACTGGCCAGCGGCGGGGCCTCCTCGGGGACCTCGCCGTCCGCGGCCACCGTCACTACGGCGCTCGGCTGCGGGGCCGCCGCGCCGCCGCCGCCCTCCTCCGCGTCGCAGGAGTCGTCCTCCAGCGGCACGGCGTAGACCCACAGCAAGACCGACGCCTGGAGGTCCGCGCGCGGCCGCCTCTGCCCGTCTGAACCAGGGCAGACGACGATTCTGCTGGAATTACCAGCCTGGAACATATCCCTATCCCTATGCTTAGGAGGAGTCGGCTTGCGGGGGGGGTCGGGCGCGCGGGAGGCGGGCGGAGGCGTCGCCGGCGCCCCGCGCCCCCGGGGGGGTCCATGTTGGATTTCCCAGGCTGCGCCAAGCGCGCGCGCGTTACTTGCCCGCGCGCTCACATTCGCGCAAGCGCACCCTAAGAAATTATGATTTGGATCGGAACCGGGCGACAACGGGCATGGGGCGCCTGTCGAGGCTGCTTCTGGGAGCGATTGCTGCTGGCTCGAGACGCGCGATATGCATGTGGCGACTTTTGGAGGACGGGCGCTGCGCCGTCCAATCCAACGCGGCAATGGCGCGGTCCGGGGCGCGCGGCCGTCGCGGCGCACGGCGGTCGACGTGACCGCATGGGGCGCGCGATCGGCCGCGCGGTATTTGCGGGCCATTCGGCCGACGCTGCCGGGTCGCCCTCAAACAGCCCGCCAGGAATACGCAATGCGCAATGCGCCAGCGCGCCGCCAGGATATCGCCCTGAAAACAACCTGTTCACTCTGAGCGCCGACTGCGCGCCTCGCTGAACCCGCGAAGTCGCGCGGCGCGCCCGCGCCGCGGACCCGCCGCAATGAACTCGCGGGAAAAAAGACCTCTCTCCATGGGTTCTGGCACCGATTCTGGCCTACTTCCCCGTTCTGGCCGATTCTGGTTCCATCGCCGATTCCTCCTTTGATTCCGTATTGATTCCGTACTGATTCTTTTGATTCCGCTAGAATCAGGGGTCGCAGTTGTGCCGATTCTGTATTGATTCTGTACTGATTCGTACTGATTCCTTTGATTCCCCTGCGCCCCGGGGACCATCGGGCTGCGGCCCGAGCCCCCGCCTCGGCGGCGCGGTTTTTCCAGGGGCGCGGAAGAGTTTTGAAGGGGGGGGGCGGGGGGGGAGGCGGAGCGATTTGCGGGGCGCATCGGGCGGTCGAGCCACAGATTTCCGGGCCCAGGGCGCACGCCCAACATGGCAGGCGCAGGCGCGCGCGAGTTCTCGACCGTCGGCGCATCTGTAAGTTCATGCCCCGCCCCGCGCGCGGGGAGGGAAACTTGCGTTGCGGTTTCCAATTGAACGCGCGGCCGTCGCAACTGCGTCGCATTGCTCAGCGCGCAAAGCACGCGAGCAGCATGGGGGGCTTTGCGTTCTCGCATGAGAAGTGCGCAGAACCGAACCGAACGGTCGGCGGCGCCCGCTCCTGCGCCGCGCGCGAGGCCATCGCGTCTGCGCGGGGGGCTACAAGGGCCTGGGCCGTCGCCCTGGGGCGCGGGCACAGCGCGAGGCCCGCGCGGGTCTCTCGCGCCAAACATTCGCAACGAGGTCGGCCCGCCCGCCGGCTGGCGCTCGCGGGCGACGCGCCGCCGGCGCCGACTGCGAGGCCGACTGGGCCCGGAAGATTCCTCAGAGCCCTGGGAACGGGCAGCGGCCCGCGATGGAATCGGCGCGGTCGCTGGCGCCCCGCCCGCGCCCGCCCCCCCCTGCAAGCCGACTCCTCCTACCTATGCTGGGCACCTCCTCATCGCGATGCCGGTTTTAGGAATCCCCTTATTTTTTGGGGGCGAATCCCTGAGATTGTCATCGCCTTTGGCGTGTCAATCTTAAGGATAAGGGATACGTTCGAGGCCGGCAATGGACGAGCCGGGCCGCCAAGCGCGCGCCGTGGAGGGCGGAGCGCGGGCGCTGGCGGCGGCGGCCGGCCGGTCCGCCCAGCGGCGGCCAGCGGCGGCAGCTCTGCGGCGCCCGCCGCGAGGCCCTCCACCGGGCGCGCGGCCGTCCGTCCGCGCGACCACGGGCGGCTGCTTCGGCGCGGTCGGCGCGCCCGTCCCCTGGGGAGGAGCCCCCCGGGAGGAGCTCGAGCCCAAATGACTCGCCCCCCGCGTTTCGGGCTCCGGAGTCCTTGGGCTCAGAGGCTGGACTGCTCTCGATGCATTTTCTTCGCCAGGGGTCTCGGTCCACGGGTACGAACATTCTACGAGGAAAAGAAGCTCCAAGGGGACTCCCAGGGCCCAGTCCAGACTCGTGGTTCTCTTAAGAGAGATCTGGAGCCCATGAGCGTCGACGCGATTTCTTAGCGACGCCTGATGGGCATGCGGAAATGCCTCCTACAAGATGCGCAACAGCGTCACGCACGCGTCGGGATGCATCGGGTCTTACGGGACACCAGAATAGAGTCGGAGCGGCAACCAAAACTGGCATCGAACCCGACCGATCAGATCGCCAAGACCACATAATGCCCTTACCCGAACAGCCCGCCATGACTCGTCAGCCCGTTACCCGAAATGTGGCTGTCGCCTTCGCGCCGTGCACACTCGTCCTCAACGTCCACAACAATTTCAAGGATGGAGGGTGGGCCCTTTTCAAAACAGTTGCACGGATCGATGGCGGGCGGTCTCTAAACTGTAGCCTGGCGCGGCGCAGATTCGTTTGAAGAGTTCGCAGCCGTTCGAAGTGTTCGTATGGTTGAGCTCCCAGGAACGGTGTTGCGGCACGATTTAGGACTGGCGGGGCGCGGCAGGCACGCTCCTTCGCTGTGGGGGAATCCAAAAATCAACGTTCTGGCACAATCCAGGGTTGACCGGTTGCAGCAATCGCGTTGACTCGCGGCGTTGAAGTCCCCAAAATGGCGCTTGGGCACACTCGGGGATTCTCAGACGGGCGTCCTTCAATAGGGTACTTCCCGCAATGAAAACAAATATTCAAGGAACCTGCGTAGAGGGAACCTGGAGGGAGGCTTCACTGCAGCATCGCTGATGCGTCTTGGGTTTGCACTGGTCGCTACTCCTCCTGCTCATCTGTCTTCCTCGCTCGTCGCTCCCTCGCTCCTCCCTCGCTCCTCCCTCCTCCCCCCTCCTCTCCCCCCTCCTCCCCCTCCTCCTCCTCCTCCTCCTCCTCATCCTTCTCCTCCTCCTCTTCCTTCCCCTCCTCCTCCTCCTCCCCCTCCTCCCCCTCCTCCCCGACGGCGGCGACGGAGGGGGCCTCGCCCCCGCCTGGGGCCGCGGCCGAGCCTGGCAGGGCGCCGCCCAACACGCTGGAGCTTTTCGGCCTATCAGGCGATACGCAGTCTGGCTCGGCATGGCAGGGCTCCCAGTACACGGCCGCCACCCGCGTGTTCAAAAAATGGTGGCCAGCCACGTACCCGGGCGAGTGGAAGATGCCCGACGGCATGCGCTACCCGTTCGTGTGGAAGCTCAAGTCGGTCGACATCATCGCTGGCCAGGTCGTCGAAACTTGGGATTGGGAGTGGATAGAGGCTCCAGGCTTGGCGACCATCGCAGAGGTCGAGACCATGCTGCTGGACCACTTCAACCAGCAGCAGGCCGCCGCGCAGGAGGCCCAGGCGCAAGCGGCGGCGGCCGCGGCCGCCCGCGCGGCCGCCGAGCAGCCGTCCAACGCGTCGCCCTTCGGAGCCTGAGCGGGCCCTTGTGCGTGCTGCCTCCCAGTCGGCGCCATCCCAGGTCGACGCGGGCGACCTCGGCGCAACCTATAATGCGCCCTCATAGGTGGTGGGCTAGCCTAATACCCTAGTCTCTGTTCACCTCGGCTGCCCACCACCTAGACAGCCCTAGCCAGCCACACGAGCCGAATATTTCTAAGCGCTGGGGAGCCGTGCCGCTCCAATTTAAGGTCAGCTGAGCCGTCCCGCAGTCCCGTTGCAGCGGGCCCTTCAGTTCTATCATCCTTCAGCCCCATCCCAAGGGCCCGCTGCAAGAGTCGCCCACCGCCACGCGCGGTCTCTGAGCCTTCTTGTAGGGGCGCCTGCGCTCCTCGACCCCCTCTGTGAGAGTTCGATCATCGAGGGTGTTCGAGAGCTGACAGGCTCCGCCGTGGCCGTACACTTTCACAGGGCACGTCCATATTGTCTCACCGCTACCAGTCTAGCCTAATAGACCCCTGCTGGCACCTCCGCCACATGCAGGGACAGACTAATGCAGGCGGCTAGCCAGCACCAGTCTCTAGCCTCACACCTCTCCGCCGCACGAGTGCGGCCAACGCGACACTTTTTAGCAGCCCCGCTACCAGAAGAGCGCTAGGCTCAACGCTCACAGCTCAATTCGCTGACTCGCCACGGCTGAGTCTAGGCTGCGGCAAGCAAGTGGCCCCGCGCAGCCAAGTGCCTTCGGGGACCCCGCTCCTTCCTCTTATAGCCTCCTCCTTGCACACACCCCGCTAGCCACGCGGCCTGCGCTCGCCTGCAGGCGATAGCCACTTGCTCCTGGGACGATGCCCAGATAAGCCGCAGGCCCTACTAGTCTCTAGACCCCCATGGGCACGGCCGCCCATGTCGGGAAGCACCGATGTAGGCGGCACGCCAGCACCAGTACTCTTATATATACCGCCGCGCTAGTGCGGCCTGCGTCGCCCCTACATTTGGGGCCTGGCAGCACAGCAGTACGCTGTGCGCTGAGGGCAGCATCCCATCCCTCTCCCTTACCTTCATTCTTTCCCTCCCTTCGTATCGCGAATAGATGCTGCCTCAGCACCTCCCTCAGGCCGAGTATCTCTCGGCTAACGTTGCCCATCAGAGGTGCGCACCTCTGCGGACAGCTACCGCGCCTTAGTGCTTCTTGGCTGTGCAAGATACTACTTTTCCTTCCCTCGAGTTCCTCCCTCCCCCTCTTACCACGGCCAAGTACAGCACAGGTGTTCTCTTACCTGCCCCCCTTACCGGTCACGTGCGTTTCCGATGGGGCTTCCTAGGTCTCTAGGCGGCAATGCCAGCCTCTCCCTCCTGGTCCGCTCCGACACGGCCGCCTTGCAGCGCGGCACTGCCATTTTGGCCCTCTTCCTACTCATCCCGCTCATATCCATGGCTAAGCCATGCTCCCAGGTGGCCGTTCCTGAGGCCAGCTGTGCTGCTCTTCGGTCTTTCAGCGCTGCCCGCATAGGGCAACGCCTAGCTGGCGCGCTTAGTGACTCTCGCACGGCACCGATCCCTTCTCTTCCTCTTATTCTCCCTCCCTCCCCTTCGGTGCCAATACCTCCCCCGCCCAACATGCAGGTCCAATGGCGAAGAATCGCTTTTGCTTGCGGACGGACCAGGAGCGGAGATCCTTTGTTGTGCCCGCTAGGCGGGCTCTGTCTGCCGCCTAGCCGACCTGCGGCCGCCCCGCTCAAGTTACTTGCAACGAGCTAAGTGCAGTTAAAAGACTCCTCCCCGTCCTCCTCCCCCTCCTCCCCGTCCTCCTCCCTCGCTCCTCCCTCGCTCCTCGCTGCTCCCACGCCCGTCGCTCCATCGCTCCAACGCTCGTCCACTCACCCACCCGCCCGGCAAAGGCCTGCGACGCGCGGCCCCGCGGGAGAGAGAACGGAAGAAAGAGAACGACCAAGGGGGGGGAACCTGTATTCGAATAGGGGACCGGCTGCAGAACCGATTTGCCCCAGCGGTGCTTCTTCGTCAGATCTGCCAGACCTGAGCCGGATGTTCCGTAGAGTGGCGAACGTCCTAGGTACTCTGCGTGGGCCCGACCGACAACTCAAGTTCGGGACACCTGCAGCCGATCTCCTCCTCGAAGTATCGACCAGGCGTCGGGGATGCGTACAGTGGGGGCGCGGCCGCAAGAAACCCAACCCTGCAATCCGCGAATTATTCAGTGAAAACCCAAATTGGTCGATCGAAAGTCGGCACCATCTTATTGGGGGCCCATCAAAATCCAACAAAAAACAGGGCACCCTGGCAAAATCCAACTGGTTTCTTGGCACACGCCCCCGCTGATCAAAAAATACAAAAAAAGAGTCCCCAGACGATTGTTCGACTATTTGTGAACACTCCTCCTGTAGAGGGACAAGCCTGCCTTGACCCTGGAGTCGGGGCTGGCCATCGCTCGGACGTCCATACCCTGTGTTTTTTTTCGGTTTCGTGCGTGTTTTTTTCGCCAAATGGTCCAGGATGCTCCTCGATGGTCCTCGCCAAAGAAAAAATTCACACGTCCGAGCTAAGCCAAGGGGGATGCGCAGCCGATGGGTCGGCGACAGGCCCCCGACAGCGACGCCGCGCGTCCCTGGGGCGGGGCGACGGCGCCCATGCCCGATCGGCGAAGAGCGGGCGCCTGGGGGCCGACGACTCCCCCCACCAGTGCCAGCCCCCTCCTCCCTCCTCCACCTCCTCCTCCTCCTCCTCCTCATCATCATCATCCGTCTCCTCCTCCGTCTCCTCCTCCTCCTCCTCCTGCTCCGTCTCCTCCTCCTCTTCCTCCTCCTCCTCCTCCGTCTCCTCCTCCTCCTCCTCCCCCTCCTCCTCCCCCTGCTCCACCTCCTCCCCCTCCTCCCCGTCCTCCTCCCCCTCCTCTCCCTCCTCCTCCTCCTCCTCCTCCTCCTCCGCCCGTGGGCCCCTCGTCGCCGCCCGCGCAGCCTGTCGCCGCCCCTGATAAGACGAAGCCAGCACCAGTATCAGTTCGGGGGAGGATAAAGCGAGACTCCACGAGATCCAGCGGCTCCAGAGGATTTCTCGGGCGCCGCGGCCTTCTCGGAGCGGTCCGGAACGCTCTGGAACGGGCTTATCCTCGTCCTAGCCCCGTCCGACCTGACCCAGAAATCCGACGGTGCGTTTCTGATCACAACTTGGCTCCCTAGAGATCTGGATCCGCTCCCCGAGGCTGGCTTTTCATGCTGAGTCGTTCTTCTTGGGAGTCGCAAGACCGACCTCGAAACTCCAAAGGACCTCACCGCACGGTCCATCACCACACAGTGTCGGGACCCTGGAGGCCACAGTCGCCCGAGACATCCTCGGAGAACGACCCAAGTCCCATACCCGTGCAGTGACCACGATCCCCCACTGACTCGCCACACGGCGTGGTAACCGCACTGCTTGGACGCCCCCGCGATCTTTGCCTGCCCCAGGGGCCCAGCGAATGCCCCCGGGGTCAAACACGGCACCAGGAACCTCCCGCCGTGAGCTCTCCACCACACGGGCGGCGACCCAGGAAGGAGGGAGGAGGAGGAGGAGGAGGAGGAGGAGGTCCAGGAGGAGGAGGAGGTCGAGGAGGAGATCGCGGAGGAGGAGGAGCAGGAGGATGGCTTCTCTGTTGCAACGCGATGACGAATTCAGCTCGTGGTCATTGGCGCGGTGGCTACATATCGTTAGAGCTTCACCTCGAGAGTACGTCAACATGCTCAATATGGCTTGGAAGAAAGGCCTTCAGATGGAGTTAGATCAGCAACGCACGAAAATTGTGATGGAGCAGGTTAGCCGAATATCCACCCCTTCCGCGCCCATCCTATCTGAGGAAGCCCGATACATCTGCTACTCGTGTGAGGGGGTCTTTCGTACACCAGCGGCATGGAAGCGCCATGAAACAGGAACGCGATCAAACCAGACGAGGATATCATGGGAATCAAGCGCTGAGGCATGCTATCCCTGGTGATAGACTTGGGTCAAGGCTTTGTTTTCATCCCAACACGAGCGCCCAGAGTTCGTATAGACCCGTATAGAGATCGTACCAGCGTCGGCACCATTGGTCAAGCATACGACCTCAGCAACGCAGAAGAAGGCCTTCGTGATCACCCACAGTGGTCCTGCTCGACGAGGTGATCTTGGCGACTGGGCTTCGGCGTTGCTCGGCGGTCGGACCCAAGTAGAACATTACGATGACGGTAGTTGTGCAAGCTCTCCGGATGATCATGGTGCTGCCTTGGACGACCAATCTTTGTTTGATCTGGGTCATCTGCACTCTCTGCCGTGTCGCATGCGAGATGGAGGAATCCTTGTTTGTCATGGAACCAGATGGCAAATAGCGTGAGGTCATCCAGTGGACATTACTGTACTTACAGCGAGCCCTGGGTAACGAGGCGTCTGAAAAACGCAGCACTCAGTCGAATACTTCGAAGCAGTGAGGAGCTGAGGCCAGCTTTTTCTCTTGGTATACTAGTTTGTGTGGTGATGCAGTGGTCAATTGTTTTGAGATCAGGCGACGATGTTCATTTGTGCAGGATCATATTATTTCAGGCAGCCGTGGTTTCGCTAATTTGGTATGTGTGTATGCTGGAAGCTCTTCACATGGGGGCTACTGGTTTGGTCTTCGTGCATCTGGCAGACGAGGTGGTCAACGGTTCAGTGAACAGCGGCAGCTGTGTCCATGGTGTACATGTTGCTGCTGCAGTATGTAGGTGTAGTGCGTGGGCCAAGGGCCTCTCGCGCGTGCTCGCCCTCGCGGTGATGGAAGGCAGCCTCAGCGCGAAGGCCATCGTGGCCTTCTACCTCTCTGTCTCTCGATCATGCTGCCTGCCGTCCACCGCCTCCTGATGCTCGTGGACCCAATCTGCCGGCCGCCCTTGGCCCGTGTCCGAATAAACATGCCTGAGCAGCTATCAACCTGCATGTGCCTCTATCTCCGAGGCTCGCACCTCGAGCTTCAGCCCGTTGCACTCGCGATATGTAGCTGGGCGAACCGATCGTGGCCTGGATGCCTTCGACCCCATCGCTCTGTTTGACAGGTTGTCATCCTGATAGTGGTGTGTTTCGGGCTGGATCGGTCAAATCGTCGCTGACCTTGCGCCCTCTCAAGGGCTTTCTTGAGCAAGGTACTTGCCGTCTTGAGCCCTCATTCTAAGGGGCGTTCTGGAGCAGGGCACCTTGTTGAATTGATGGGCTGCTGCAAGACGCGCTGACCAGATACGGAGGGGGTGGGCTCGGGTGGAGGAAGTGGCTGGGGGTGAAACAAACCCTGAGCTCCACCCCATGCACCCCTCTCTCGCCACTCATGTACACTAGCGACGACTCCGTCCCCGTCCCCATGTCCAAAGGGTTGTACTCATGCTTGTCTGGGGGTGAAGGTCATGCGGGTGTACTTTACTCGATCTTGCTGACGCCCTTCCCGCTTATAGCCAGTACGTAGTTCGCTCAGGTGCTGCGGGAGCACTTCCTCCTCGAATTATTCGATAAGTTCCTTCATCCATCGTTTCTCGGTTGGTCTTGTTATCCGAGCTCCAGCAGTGCACGTTCGCGGCAGGCACTCGCGTCTCCTCATCACACTATGATATTGCTTCCTGCTTTTCCCTACCTTGCACGGTGGCCTGCGCCGTCGCATTCGTCATGCTTTCCCTCTCCATCCGTGCGTACGCGGGCGCCGTCGCCCACTGCAGGTTGCCCAACATCCTGCTCCTTCCCCGCTTGTGATTGGAGGTGCCGTCATGCCGTCCAATTGTATACAGTCGGCCTCGATTGGACAGCACACGCGGGAGGACACAAGACCCTTCCGAGGGCCACATTGCCGCAGGAACGTAGGAAGCATGGGTCGTTAGACACAGGACACAAGGGTACCCTTGATCTGGCAGGGCCGACCTACTAATCCAGGCCGACTGTACAAAGCCCGATGAAGGGGCCATTGAACCGGATTGTACGCCGGTCGGAAGATCTGGTTAGAAACATGAAGTAGGAATGCGTTGGAAGTAGATTGGGCTTCCGCCCGCCCCCTGAAGAGGAGGGAAGAAGGAAACCAGTTGATCCTTGAAGTAGGAAGGCGCCAAAAGCAGATTAGGATCTGGGAATCCGATTTGGGTGCCCTTGACTTGGCAGGCTCGACCTACTCATCTGGGGCGGTAGCGGAGGCCCGGGAGCGCGGGCCCGCACCGACGCTGCGAGCGCTCGCTCCCATGGCGTGCCCAAGAACAAAGGAGGGGGTGATGGTGATGAGGATGATGATGGTGCCTCTGTTGATGATGGTGATGTTGCTGAATAGTATGATGTTCTTGTTGATGATGATGATGGTGTTGGTGTTGATGCTAATGTTGATGATGCTGCTGATACTTATGATGATGCTGATGATGATGAGGATGATGATGCTGAAGATTCTGATGATGATGGCGTACCCAAGAAAAAAAATGAGGAGGAGGAGTAGGATCAGCAGGCGAGGAGGCGCAGAGGGCGCAGCACCTGCGAGGGAAGGCCAGAAAGGGGGCGCCTTGTGCCATCTCAGCCGCTTGTCGCCCCAGACCTGCGCGCCGCAGGGGCCCGCGCTGCACGTGCGTGAAAAGAGGCGCCCCGGCCCCGGCGCCAGCCCCAACAGAGAGCTCAGGATGCTCCCACACGAGAGCCCCAAGAAGGGCTCCAGAGAGTCAGCGTCGTCGTCATCGCCGCCGCCGCCGTCGTCGCCGTCCCCCTTCAGGGTCAGCGGCGTTGGCCGGAAGGCCGTCCCCAGAAGAAATGAAACCCTCTGTGGGGCACCAAAAGAGCCTGGGTGAAGGAGCAGCCACAGAAGGATCCCGGGATTCTCGAGCCCCGTCTGAACCCAAGCTGCTCCTTGCTTCACCGTTTTAGCTGCACGCTGTTCTGAAGGTGCTGAAAGATGCTGCAAGCTTTAAGTCTGGCCTATCCCCCTACAAGGGGATTTTCGACGGAAAATAAAACAGACACCAAAAATACTCCAAAAAGGTCAAACAATACTCGAAAAATAGTCCCCATACTATTTTTGGACTCTGTTTTGACTATGCTTGGGGTATGTTCTACTTTTCGTCGAAAATCCCCCTGTAGGCCCGACTGAAAGCTGGTCCGCGTGCTCTGGCGCTGGCCTCGCCGAGAAACACAAGCACACACACAAGCACACACACACACACACCCGAGGGATGCCACGAGCAGCTCGGCCACCGGCCCAAGCCCCGAGAGGAGGGGTCTGTGCAGGGCCCGCGCTGCGCGCGCCGCACGGGCCGAGGCGCGGGGTGAGCCGACAAGGCGGACTTGGCGGCGCGACGGGGGGGCTTCTCCAAAGGGGCTGCTACGGGGGGAGGGACGGCTTCTCCGAGGGGGGCGACGGGAGGAGGGACGGCTTCTCCGAGGGCGGCGGCCCCCGGGGTCAGAGGAGGGGTGGGCCGCCCCGTCCGAGGCTGTCGTCCCGCCGACGCTGCCTTGACCAGCCAACGGACGTTGGCCAAAGTGGGTTTGTGCTGGGGTGGCCCTCTACAATCCTCCCATACTTTCTTGCTAGACTTACCCATGCGCATACTGTAGTGACCACAGAGCTCGCAAATTCCCGCGGGGCCCAAACGGATCAGCCTGTGCCCCTCTCCGATGTTGGGGGTCCGTGCACTTGGAGTTAAGGAGCACTTTATAACTAGCAACTGTGCTAACTTCCCCCAAATAACTTCTACACCTGACAAGCTCATCTCCGGGAGGTGTTCATCCCCTGTTATAGATAGTAATGGTGTCGTGGTGCCCTTGGTTTTCTTTAAGTTACCAGCTCCCCGAATACCTTGTGCATCCTCAGCCCTGGACGCCACGAGGCCCGCGTACTTGGCAATCGTCTTCGAAATCTCGATGCCACCACCGCGGTGGTATCGAGCCAATCCATCTGCAACTTTGGTTCTAGCAACTCGAACATATGCTAACATATCTGCCCAAGCATTGCCAGTGGCATGGGCCAAAAAACCGCCATCTCCCAGCGATGGCGCCCGCGCAAACTAAGAGCCCCCAGCGTCTCCGAGGCAAAGGTGGAAGACCTCCCCCCAAAGGCTAGCGTGCAGCGATCCACTTGCTTCCAACTCGGGGACCCACCTGTTTGCCTCAGCGACGAACGAAAGGTGGCCGCTCCATCATCATGAGGGCCCTGTATCCTGCAGTCCGCTCTTGCCTTGGAACCGTCTGCTGTCTGATCACGTCCAGGCGGGCCTCCGTATTGGGCGCGCATGGGATGCCCATCCTGGCGCGCAGTTGTACAATGGCCCATCCGACGCAATAGAACGTCGGGCGGCTGGTGTGCATGCCTGACGCATCGCATTATGTAATGCTCCCCCGATCGCCCAGCAGCGTCGCCCCAAATACATGTATGTTGAGCTTCTGCAGGCGGTCCAGGGTGCAGTGGCGCCAGCGGTAGACCGTTGGTCAGCCCGAGCGCGGCGGGGTCGCCCGTGCTGTCCACCTGCAGTTGTAGCCGTGACTTCTGAAACTTGGCAATCTCAACTGGGGCCTCCTCCAGGTACGCCTCAGAAAGTTGATGCAAAACACAAATGATGAGCCAGCGCAGCCTTGGCCGCACCACAATGCGGATTTTTACTCCGAATTCGCAACCTCTGTCAGGACAAAAGTATCGACCAAGCCACAGCTTCCTCAGACAACCTCTCATGGTCCCTGTCTGACAGAAGAAACAACGGCAACCTCATTGCACGTCTCCATATCTGTCCATCATCGACGAGCTCAAGAAGGCGTTCACGAATACGATTGACGTGGAGCCGCTACGTAGATCCAACCTACATCTTCCCCACATCGCGCGGCGCCACCGTCTGAAAACCACTGTTGCCCCATGTCGTCGAAGAAATTAGCTGGTCCCGCGAGCCGCCATCCGTCACGAGACAGCGCCAACCGCGCAGAAGACGCGGGGCCTCCAGCCACCGCCCAGCCGGGCAAGAACTCCGCGAGATCGGTGCGCGCGCGCTTCCAAATAAGATACAGCTCATAGAAAGAGACCCTGCAACCCAGTGTGAAATTGTGATGACGCTTGATAAGACCCGTCGCTGCGTCAAACGAAGGATCAAATCGGCCATCCCGCCGAGTGGCAAGGTAGAGCGGATGCGAAGCATTCTGGCCGCGCCAATCATCCCCCCAGAAAAGAGCCGCAACTGCGTGGGCGGGGCATCCGACGCACCGCCGACTCCCAAACAGCGCCCCACCGCATTGAGAAGACGGGTTCGCCGCGACGCTCCCACGTGCTCGCGCACCGCTCTCTTGGGCGTGCCCCCCCCACTCGCGCGCGCAGCTTGGCCAATCTCACGCGCCCTTGCGCGCGAACAAACTTCGCCCCGTGGGGCTCGTGCCCTAAGATGCGGATGTGCTGCGTTGCTTTTAGCTGCGTGCAACCCGCGCCGGACGAAGCGCCTCTTAGCGCGAATCGTCGTCGCGACGAACCCCCATTTTGACTGCTGGAGGCTGAGGTACAGCTCCGTGATCTCACTCCGGCCCGAAGTTGCGCACGCACGCGCACATGGGGTCGCAACAAGACCGTTGCATCGTGAAATCATCTATGAACGCGCGCGCCACTGCGTTGTCATATCTGCTGTGCTGTTTGGGTACCGCCCGATAAAGCACTGCCATCAACACCGTCGTCGCATGTGTACATACCGCCAGGGCGCCCTGGAGATATGCAGAGAGAGAGAGAGAGAGAAGGCTAATGCTACCATAAGCGCGTTTGGTACGAGGTGCTCGATATGTCTGTAAGATCACCCACATCAACTTAGGAAGATATCCAAGAGCTGGCGCATCTCGAAGGATCGTGCTCCATCAAATTGTTCCGTGTGGTTTGCGAGCATGTGCCGACTCGGCTTTCATACCAAACGGGAGCGCACAATTGGACGAAGATTTGCCAGCACCACTGCCCCAGAACGCAGGATTCTGATGACTGTTTTCCCAGGCCATGCTGGGCGGACGACGCGCTCTGCCCCATATCCACAACATTGTCTTGAACAGAGCGACGAGTCTCGTATCACCGCTCGGCGGGGGTAACACATGCAGGGCTCCACGTACAGCTGGTCCTGCGGCAATTTGAACACCCCTTCGCATATCATGAGCGGCTCCGCAACGGCCTGCGGCCCTTCGTCGCAGACAAGCAAAAAATGCCGGGGTAAAGTGTGCACTTGTCCTCGCCCGGTCCTTGGAGCGAAAGTCATGATGCCCTGCCTCTGATACGAGCCTGACAACTCTAGAAGTTGCTCCCACGATTCTGAATTGCCAGGCAAACGTGGATCACCAGCACTATGACGACTCCGTATATGTCTCCAATGTTTCCATGCCAGGTCTGCAAGTCATGATCGAATGGTATGATCGGTTGCTGGCAGCACCTGCTGGCGAGCACGGAGTCACATGACCATGTGCATCACGCCCACCGTTCTTGAAAACCCCCACCGTCCATGCATGGTGCACGGTACTCCTCTTTGCGCCGCGTGGACTACTTCCACTGAACCAGCTGAGATTGCGCCACCACCTGCTCTATGTTGAGGTCGAGCTCGCTTAAGCTGAACCACGCGATCCAGCCTGCCTTCAAAAACTCACGAGCAGAGTCATCCAGCATCCGATGGACATTACGAGGACCAAACCACCATCCGAGAAAGAATCTGAAACTCGTGAAAGAGACACCCCAACTTCTCCATGTGAGACTGCTGGGGCACCTTATGGTCTGAGGCAGTTTGCTTTTGTTTTTCTCCCCCCACCCCCCCGAGCGCCTCGAGCTTGACGTTGGCGACTTGGTTGCCTGAGAGCTGAAAGAATTCTCTGTCTACGGGCGCTGAAACACCAGCTTCCGAGATAAGACTAATCAGCACGTCCATGTAGGCAACCATGCGACAAATGTGTCGGACACATCTTTCAGCAATACGCCATGCGCAGACGCAACCATGTCCTGATTCACGGCGGTCTTCAGGAATGCCTTTGAATGAAAACATCCCGAATGTCTGTCCTTTGGGGGAAAGATGCCGCATCACACGCTCACCAACCACGTCATGTTTCCCTGTCAACTCAAGTTCTATATTTGAGCAGGGACCGACCGTCTCGGCATTCCTATAGCCCTACCACGAAATGTTCCTAGAACCCGAGAATGTTCTAATAACAAGACAATGTTCTTAGAACATAAACCCGATGTGGTCAAACATAACAGACTCCGCCAGAAATGTTCTAAGAACACTGCGTGGAAACCACAAGCGTTTCTTAGAACATTGTTTGGTAGGGATATAGGCGAGCCCAGACGCTTCGCCACTGCTTGAGATATTGTTCAGCACCGCGAACCATGCGGCCAAGAGATCGCTGTCCGACTCGACCTCGGCGATCTGCCGACGAGTCTCCTGCCACTCGCAGGGGACGAGAACGCACCCAGGCAATACCGTGGTAGGAAGCTCCTTCGCAGCCTTCATCTTCCTCAACGTGATTGGGCACGCTTAGACCTCCACAGACACAAACATATTGTACATGAAACCTGGTACCCGCATCCTCGATTACTGCAGGTCGTGGGATGTGCGGAAGGAGAGCGGCAGTCACCAAGACATAATCAATCATCGGCGGCAGACACCAGCCCCGATGACGAATCCACACTTTCTGAGGTGGGATGGGCGGTCGTGCCCCTCTCGGCGATGAATGGGCGATTGCATCGGGGTCGCTACATCCCCCTTGAGCCTATCCGCCCAAACATTTGCCCAAGACAAGGAATCGAACTCTATACACCGACGCATTTTCCGGCCCTGCATTGAAATATGCACTGGCGAGCGGATCCTGGTGTATACGGGACCCTGGTGTATACATTTTCCGCTGCTTCCCCGGGACATCGGGGAACAACATACACAACACCACACCACCCCAGCGTCGTCCCCGACCCTCAAAAAGTCCCAGGGTTGAAAGAGAGCCCGCCACTGGTAATGTATACAGGGGGGCAGTGTTTAACACATGGGATTTTTAAACACATAGGATTTTTAATGCATGACCAATTCATGAATAAAGTTATGCATCAACTCATCGTTGTTTTTTAGTACTAGCCCCCCCCCCTGCATTTTCAACACATGATCCGCACGCGGAGCATGTATTAAAAACGGCACTGCGTGCTCCAGTTTCCGACAAGACGCGACGAACCCATCGGCGTGCCTCTGCTGAAGACGACGCCCGGGCGCGTGGGCAAACGCGAGGGAGAGCTGCACGCCGACTGGGCGCCCAGCGACAGCGTGCCCGAACGAGGCAGCCAGCCCGCCCCCCCCCCCCGATGCAGGATGGGGGGGAGCCCTTCGAGCAGTTGGGCGCCCGAGTTATCCGGGGTAACTCGGGTCCGGGGTAACTCGGGATTGGATTCCGCAAAAAGGATCCCGAGGTAGCCCTGACCCGAATTACAGTTACCCCTGCTCATGTGGGGCTCTGGACGCCCGAAGTACCCGGGGTAACTCGGGTTTGGAATCCCGAAAAAGGACCCCGAGTTAGCCCTGACCCGAATTGCCCCTGATCATGTGGGGCTCTGGGCGCCCGAAATACCCGGGGTAACTCGGGTCCGGGGTAACTCGGGTTTGGATTCCCGAAAAAGGAACCCGAGTTAGCCCTGACCCGAGTTGCCCCTGATCATGTGGGGCTCTGAAGTAGGGGATCGACTGCAGAATTGATTCACCCCCGGAATTATTGTGTGGGTCGAACCTGCGAAGAGTGCGTAGAATGTTACGTCGTTCTACGGTCTTTTTCGCACATTCGACGGAAAGAAAGACGATTGTGGGGTAAATTAATTCCGTAGTCGATCCCCTACTCGAACCATGGGGGTGGGTGGAAGGGCGGACATTGACGCGGAATCGGCCGATGCGTCGCCGAGGTGTCCGAAGAAAGAAGCCAGCCGCCCCCCCCCCCCCCCCACGACGAAGGGGAACCATGGGTGCGGGACACGGGAGTCTTGAGCAGAGACCGACCGTCCCGGCATTCCTATAGTCCTACCACGAACTGTTCTTAGAACCCCCAAATGTTCTTAGAACAACCAATGTTCTTAGAGCATAAACCCGATGTGCTAAATCAATACAGGCTCCGCCAGAAATGTTCTAAGGACATTTCGTGGAAACCACAGCGCGGTTCTAAGAACATTCTTTCGTAGGGCCATAGGCGAGCCAAGACGCTTCGCCACTGCTTGAGAATCGGCGATGCGTCGCCTTGCCATCGCTCGGACGTCCATTTCCCGTGCATTTGTCGGTTTCGTGCGTGTTTTTGTTTGCTCGATGGTCCAGGATCGTCCGCAGTGGTTCTCGCCGAGAAAAACGCACACGTCCGAGCGATGCCAGGTCGCCGAAGCATCGGCGACGGGCCCTCGACAGCGAAGCCGCGCGCTTCCTGGGCGGACTGGGTGGGGCTCCCAGGGCCGCGATCGGCGAGGCGTGGGCGGCTGGGGGTCGACGCCCCCCCGTCGACGCACCGCCTGCCGAGCCAGTCCACCCCCGCCCCCCGTCGACGCCCCTGGGAGGAGGACCCCTCGCCGTCGCTCGGACGTCCACTCCCCGTGCATGTTTCGGTTTCGTGCGTGTTTCTTTTGCTCGATGGTCCTCGAGGGTCCTCGCCGAGAAGAAATGCACACGTCCGAGCGATGCCAGGACCCGTTCTTCCCCTCTCCGGCCAACGCTCTCCCCCTTGTTGCGCTCCCCGCCGCCACCCCCTCCCTCCCCTCCCCGTTTTCCATTCCCCCCCTCCCCTGGCGCAGACGTAGTGCGTGGGGAAGAGGGTGTCGTCCCAGTCGAAGATGATGACGGTCTGATCGGCCTGGGGGGGTGCGGGGGGGGGGGGGACGAGGGCGGGCGCGAGGGGTGAGTGTTTGTTTGCATGTGTTTGACACGTCTTGCGTTTGGTGTGTATGTGTATGGGCAAACATGGATCAAAACAACTTGTTGTTGCGCGTGTCTGTGTGTGTGCGTGTCCGGTGTATGTGCGTTTTTTCGCTATCAGCATACACAACACTTTTGGCATAAAAAGGCCAGGGACTCGACTCGACTCGACTTGTCCAGGCACCCTACTGCGTGTTGGTTACCGAGCCGCGGGCTGGGCCCCCGGGGCCCAGCGACGCTCCACCGGAGGTCGAACCATGCGACTGGCCATCGCTCGGACGTCCATGCCCTGTGCTTTTTTTTCGGCTTCGTGCGTGGTCTTTTCGCCAATTGATCAAGGATGCTTCGCGATGGTCCTCGCCGAAAGAAACATGCACACGTCCGAGCGCTGCCATGGCGAAGCACGTTGTGCTGCCTTGTCTGTGAATACGCTGGAGCGAATCAACCCATTTTGTGGGCCCAACTTCCTGGTGCCGCCACCCTCGACAGCACGGCCCGCCGCGCTCGGCACTCAAGGTCATGGCGACCTTTGCGCAAATCGAGGTCGAGCGATGCGTGTTCCCCAGTAGCGCCGCTGTTTACCACTCTCCAGGGGGAAGGAGGAAGAGAAGAAGAGGTGAACACGCGACTAGGGAGGAAATAATCACCCCTCAGCATCGTCGTCGTCCTCCTCCTCTTCCTGTTCGACGCCGTCCTCATCGTTATCCTCACTCCCCTTGTCCCCCCTCAATCCCCGACCTCCTTGTCGTACTGACGCTGCGGGCTGCGGGACCACCTTGTGACGCAGCCCCACACCTCCTACTCTTCCGCCTCCGCGCCCACCTGGCCCGCCTAGGCCCTCAGGGGTGTCTGGGGGGCCAGGGGGGCCCAGATGTGCAGAAAGGCGCGTCCCTGGAGAGCCCAGGTCCACAGATCCCGCCGCGCTGGCCCGCAGGCCCTCCGGGGTGGTGGCGCTCGCCGCGGGGCGGTAAAAGCCCCGAGGGGCATTACTCTACTTTGGCACAGTCCAATTAACAGTCCCCTCCTCCTCCGCCTCCGCCTCCGCCTCCTCCGCCTGCACCTCCCTCTCCTCCTCCCCCTCCCCCTCCTCCTCCTCCTCCTCCTCCTCCTCCTCCTCCGCCTCCTTCATCCTGTCCCTCCTCCTCCTATCCCCTGCTCCCGTTCCTCTTTTGGGGGGAGGGGGGGAGGTTTGGCGCGGAAGAAAACCCTGGCGCGGGTTGGGGCCTCGCTCCAGGAACTGTCGAGGTCGGAGTAGAGGGACTTCGGCGACGAGAACACCGAGTTGTGGCTCCTCCCGCACGCTTCACACCGGTTCCGATGTGCATGCGGACGAAGAACGGTATACGCCATTAACTTGTCCGCCATGGGACGCCTGCCCCAGGGCGGCCGAAAAGTCTACATCCCTACGGGTGGCACATCAGGGCATACACTTTCCAACCGCCCATGAACAAGCGTCCCCGATGGCAGAACCGCTTATGCTATACCGTTCTTCGCCCGCCAAGTTCGGGCCAGGCGACTCCTAGGCAAGGCCAAGAGGTATGCGCCTCCATGGCCCAGCCTGGACAGCGCAGCGCACCGGCCCTGGGCCCAAGGAAAGGGTGTGCAGCTGCAGCTGGCTTCGTGACCTGCGCCACTGGCATGGACGGAGCCCCGCTTTGGCAAAACGAGGGCAAGATTGACGACAAATCCGAACGGGGACAAATCGCGAAAGCGTTTGGCCCCTGATGCCTCGGGGCCCTGGAGCCCCCTCTCCCCCGCCACTTCCTCCTCCTCCTCCTCCTCCTCCTCCTCCTCCTCCTCAAGTCGGCGGCGAGCCCACGGGAAAGTGAGAAGGAGAAGGCCTTCTCAGAAGGCTCGGAAGTCCCCCAGTCTTCTGAAACGTTTTATAAGCCTTCCCCGAATAAATACCCAGAAAACCTCGAAGGCCTCCAGCCGTCTGAGAAGCAGAGAAGGCCTTCTCCTACTCAATCCCCCCCCTCCCTCGCTGCCGAGTACGACCAAGGCCTTGGAACCCGAGGCGCGTTGGCCGCGCTTCGGCCCCGCCAGGGTCTGAACGACTGCCTGGGTGAGGGGTCCTGGCCCTCAGAGTCGGGGATGGACAGACCTCCCTTTAGTAACACGTGGTTTACTGAAAACGACCTGAGGCCCAAACCTGGAGGGCGCAAGCCTGGAAAATAACGGCCGCGGCGCCCTCTCGAGAACCGAAAACGGACAATTCACTAATCGACGTGTCACTGTCAGGAGGTCTGTCCACTTCCGACAGAGGGACAAAACCATCCAGGCCACCAAACATCCCGCCTCGCGCTCCGCCCGCAGTACGAGGCCCGCGCCATCTTCGGATGGCCCGAAGGACGTGTCGGGCGCCGCGGACGTTCCGGAACGTCGCCAGGCCGCTCTGAGAACGTTCGGGGCCGCTCTGGACAGGAGCGGGTAGCATATCCGCAACCGTGCCGCGTGAAGGATACCAAGGTCTGCCTGGTAGAGTCTTCGAACTCTAATGACGGACCGCCCGTCCCTCTACCAGCAGACTCTTGCGTTTATCGCTCCTCCTTTCCAAGGCCACTTCCCTCGTACCCGCTCGAGGATGGTGCACTTTCAGCATGACAGCTAATGGTTGATCCCGAATTCCACGCGTGCCTTCTGGATGATGGTGCACTTCCCGCATGGCAGCTAGTGCCTGAACCCTCTTTCCATGCGTGCCCGCTGGAAGATGGTGAACTTCCCGCATGGCTGCTAACTCCTAGGCCCCTCATCCCGCGCGCACTCGCTCGAGGATCGTGCACTTCCCGCATTCCCAGGCGCGGCTCCCAAGCGCTCCAGGGCCTCCCGAGCCACGACCCCTCGTTATAGTAAAACGACGGATGTGCGTCCCAAGCTTCCTTGGAGGCCCGTGCAGGCAACGAAGAACACACAGATGGCCCAAAATGTCCTGTTTCGCATTCTCGCATTTTCGGGCTGCCGTCAGCTCAAGACGGCCCAAGAGGACTCCACGATGGCCCAAGATGCATCCAGGACGGCCCCAAGATGGCCCAAGAGGGCCTCCCGTGGGACCCAAGACAGCCTCAGAAGGCCCTTCGACTGCCCAAGATGGCGTCAAGATGGCCCACGACGCCCCCCAGACACCCACCATACTGCCAAGAGGGCCCCAAGACGGCACAAGAGAGCGCCAAGCCGGCGACATAGGGCTCCAAGACGGCCCAAAAGGGCCCAAAGGGACCTCCAAGTCTGCTTCACAGAAGGCAGAGACATCCCCAAGACGATCCAAGCGATCACCATCATCATCATCATCATCATCATCATCATCATCATCATCATCATCATCATCATCATCATCATCATCAGCATCAGCATCAGCATCAGCATCAGCATCAGCATCAGCATCGGCATCATCATCATCATCATCATCATCATCATCATCATCATCATCATCTTCATCATCATCGTCATCATCATCAGCAGCATCAGCATCATCACCAGTCATCATCATCATTCTCGTCATCATCATCATTATTATCATCATCCTCATCATCATCACCATCACCACCACCATCACGCTCAACATCATCGCTATCATCATCATAGGAAGGTCATTGTGACTCTTCGCTACTCATCATAATCGTCATCATCCGCATCATCATTATCATCATCACAACCATGCGCATCATCACTACCACCACCCACCACCACCATCAGCATCATCATCGTCATCACCATCATCAGCATCAACATTAGCATCCGCATCATCATCATCAGCATCATCACAACCATCAGCTTTGTCAAGGCCATCATACTCATCTGCTTCATCAGCATCTTCATCTTCATCGTCATCATCATCAGCATCATCATCGCCTTCGTCATCAGCCTCGGTCTCAGCCACAGCCTCAGCCTCAACATCATCAGCTGCATCAACATCAGCATCAGTATCATCATTATAAGCATCATCAACATCCTTATCCTCCTTCTCATCATCCTCATCTTCATGCTTATCATTGTCGTCATCACCATCAGCAGCATCATCAACATAATCAATGAGAGAGCGTGATCCACCGCCGCTTTACTGTGGAAATTTCCTCCCCCCCTCTTCCTCCGGAACCCGGGCCCCCCCCCTCCGAAAATCCCCCCCTGCTGGACCCCCCCCCTTCCCCCCAGCAAAACCCTCCACCTCCCCTAACCCTCCCTCCCCTCCCCAAAAAAACAGAGAGGGGTCACTACCAGTTCGAGCCCCCCCCCTCTGGAAAACCGAGGGGGGATCACTACCGGTTCGAACCCCCCCCCGAAAACCTAGGGGGGTCACTACAGGTTCGAACCCCCCCCCTCCCCTCCTCTCGAAAACCAGGGGGGGGTCACTACGGGTTCGACCGCCCCCCTCGAAAACCGGGGGGGGGTCACTACCGGTTCGAGCCCCCCCCCCCCTCCCCCCCCCACGCTCACCGCCAGCAAACAACTCTGGGTCCCTACCACCGTCCGCACCACATCCCCCACTGCTGTCCCCAGCACCACTGTCCTCACCACCACTGTCCCCACTGTTCCCACCACCGTCACCACTGTCCTCGCCAGTGCCCCCACCACAGTCGCACTGTCCCCACTGTCCCCACCAC